GCTACGCGTTGAAGAAGAAACAGAAGATCTGCTACGCATTGAAAAAGAATACAGAAGATCCACCCCATGTTTCCCTCTTAACCTCCGCCCCCAAGAAAACCTGAATGAGAAAATGAAGAAAACAAAAAAGCAGATATAACGAATGCATGCAGAGAAGAAGTGCATGTGTGCGCATGTCTACCGCAGTATATTTCCGGTGTTTACTTCCTCTGCTCCAGCCTGTCTGTGGTCGTCTGCTCCACTAGACTTTCCATGCTTATTTATTTATTATACTGGCTACATGACACATGGATAAAATCTCCTCATATCACTTACTCTTTTAAATATATTTTGCATACACACAGCGTATAAAGAACTCATAACGACTGTGTCGTTTGATATATGTAGTATGAGTCATTCTCCATTTTGATTGAGAGAATTTATTTCTTTTACTTTTATTTATTATTAAGCAGCAGCAGTTTTCAATTTCCTCCGCATACTCACATGCTGGTAAGCTATCCAAGTTAACTCACAATTATATTTGCAGTATTTGGTTAGAATTTTACGATACTCACTCTACTTTCGCGTGTGATACGATAATTTCCCTGTAGCTTATAATAATACTGACGATGAAGAAATCTCAATTTTCTTGGGTTCTTGCAATAACGGTCGCTACTTCGACGGCGACGGCCGCTTAGTCGGAGTTCAGTCCCCTGGCTGCAGTGCAATTATGGAGTGGACAAGGCACGAATCACAAAACAAATTGAGTTCAACATGGCTTCTAGACCAAGTACTCGACATTACATATGTTACCCAAACCCTACCCCTAGCCCTAATTATGTCATTTGTTTCCTTCCCTCTTGTCCACTCCGTAATTGCACTACAGCCAGGGAACCAAACTCTGACAAAGCGGCCGTCACCGTCCAACTAGCAGCCGTTATTGCAAGGAGAGCCTTTTCTTGCACTCAGTCGAGCTTCATATATTTTCAGTGATATCAATCCATAAATAAAAAATGGCATAATTATTTATTTCACTATCTATCACTATCAGTTTTTGCCATTAGGTAGCTTGAATCATGTATTTCGTACACACACACACACACACACAAAATGAAGACCAGCACAACGAATACAATTTGACTTCTCATTTAAGTTCATTAACAGTCAGTTCTCTAGATCAATGAAGTCTGTATTTATTCTTCAGTAAATTTTTCTTTTTCATGTTTAAGAGCTAGCATATAAACTATACACTCCTCTGCTCTCTTCCAAATAACGCTCCCAAATAATCGAGGCCGAAAATATACCCTAACAGGGCCTCAGTCACGTGTCAATTGCGGACTTCCGGGGACTATACTGCCACTGCTGAATTGCGAACTTTCAGGGACAATAGCGCCACCGCTAAGAGTATCTCCCACGCGCAGCGTGGCTTGGGGCTAAGCTAGATGGCTGGGACTCACGAGCAAAAAAATAAAGGAAGCTGCATGAGATGCGGTAGCTGCTGCTCGTGAGCATCTAGTTAAGCCCCAATCCACGCCGCACGTAGCGGCGTGGGAGATACTTTTGGCGGTATAGTCCCCGGAAGTTCGCAATTGACATGTGACTGAGGCCCTCCTAGGGTATATTTTCGGCCTCGATAATTTGGGACCATTATTCGGAGGATAGCACACTCCTCAAAAGGAGCAAAGTTCTTTGTTCTGATTGTTAATTTTTATGGTCTTGTTACAGACTTTTGAGTTTTGCATCCACACCCGTTTTACAGATCTGGCTTATTTGTATGCAGACTGGGGTTCTTTGCCTCTTAGGCAGAAGGATTCAGTACATCGAATTTGGCTTTTAATTTTTTTTTTTTTCAAGTGCTAAATTTAACTACAGTTAAACCTCTTTAGCATAAATCATTGGATAAAAAAATGAAGAGTTAATTGTAACAAAATTTGGGCTATCCTCTGAATAACGGTCACAAATTATTGAGGCTGAGAAAATACCCTAACAGGGCCTCAATGTTTGTGACTGTATCACCAGGAAACTGCGCTAAATATTCAGTAAAAAACGCTCGACTAGTGCCGCCGTGGTAACGTCCCGTCCGCATAAGTTACATCCATAACCCTTCAATAGATAGTGTCGCGGTTCCACTGTTGTGACAGATACTGGTGACAGTGTCGTAATATGCAATACTCCTGGCCCTAACCCAGGAAGAAGTTAAACCTAGGACCCAGGGGAGAAGTTAAACCTAGCACTAAGTGTCGAAGCTATTGACACCCTCCTTCATTTGGGACCGTTATTTGGAGGTTTCCAGCAGTATGCGGTAGCTTCGCCGGAAAGAAGTCAGCAATTTAGAAATGATTGAGGTCCTGTTAGGGTATTTTTCTTAGCCTCGATAATTTATGACCATTATTTGGAGGATAGCCCAAATTTGTATTAATCAGGGGTTACTACAGATATAATACATATGCATCCCTGCTGGTAACAAAACATTTTATTTTTGTGAAGTTATGTTCTGCTTGGATTTGACTAGTGGGGGGAGTAATATGAGTCTCAGCTCTTTCCATCTGACAGTGCTTTACTGCAGATGATCTAGGGTAGGGCCATTCAACCAAGATTTTACTCACTGACCAAACTGTTAGAAAGTAAAAATCAGTGCAGCAAACAGGAGAGCCGAGCTCCCAGCATGGAAAGATCAATACAATACAACTTGCTAGGCCTCTGTGGGCCACCAGTTAGATAAACCTGATTGGGGCGGGGGAGCGTCATAACCTTTATGATTGTTAATAAATGATGAGTAGAGTACTTTGAAAGGGACCACTGATGAAGCCAGATTTATTTACTATACCCTGGCAAAATGTAAACAGTTTAGAGACCACAATGTGAGTTTCTCTAATTCACAGGGGTGAGCCTACTACTCATCATCATCATTATGTCCTCCTTGAGACTAAGTTAATTTTTGTCACAAGTTTTATTTGTATTTTAGCCTGAAAATACAAGTAAAAACAAAAAAATAAACAGAAAATATAATTAGCATTCAAGTTTTTATTTACATAGTTTCAAAACTATTAGGAAATATATAACCAAGATCACTGAGTATAATGGTGCAGAAATTGCTATCCAAAGTTGTTTTCACTCTATCTCTTTTTCTCTGTCCCTCTCTTTCTATCTCTTAAATAAAAACAAACAACATATTTGTGGATTACAGCGGGATTATATATTTATTCTCTGTCGTGGGGCCCTTTAGCTTCAGTTGATATAAATGGCCAACTCAGTTCTTGTTTTTTCATCGCCCAGTAGGATTATATATTAACTGATTGATTGATTGGCTTTATCATCAACATAACTGCTAACCTCTAAGCCAAGGAAGGGAGTGTTATTGTAGTAACTTACCCAGGCCACAACTGAAATTAAAATTAAATTATTTAGTAACATCTGTCTGAGACATCATAAAGGAGTTTACTCTTTCTGCCCCTGCCAATTATCGATGTGTTATTCTTTGCATGTACCAATCAACAGGTCATGTGTGATTGTAATTTTCCATGTCAGTCAGAGGTTATTTAAGAAAGATGCCACCATTTTTGTTTTAAGACGTGTCTATTTCCACTAAGAGTCTTGATTTAACCAAAAACAAAAAGTTACTTTGGCTCCCATGTCGACCCAGCCTAAAATGGATACCAGATAAAGTCTTGGCAAGTAAAGGCAGCCAGTTTGAGGTTGATCACCCCACTCATTGAATACCGATTGGTCCATACAAATATGAGTGGCATCAAATGCCCGATGCCCCACTGGAAAAAGGGTTCTTTTTTTTAAGACTGTATGAAGGCTTAACACTTGTTTTCCACTGTATGAAGGCTTAACACTTGTCACACTGTATAAAGGCTTAACACTTGTTCCACTGTATGAAGGCTTAACACTTGTTCCACTGTATGAAGGCTTAACACTTGTTCTACTGTATGAAGGCTTAACACTTGTCGCACTGTATGAAGGCTTGACACTTGTCATACTGTATGAAGGCTTGACACTTGTCGCACTGTATGAAGGCTTGACACTTGTCACACTGTAAGAGGCTTGACTCTTGTCGCTCTGTATGAGGGCTTAACACTTGTTGCTCTTCCTTCTTCTGTTGTCTTACTGCTTGTACTGCTGAGCTTTGTAGAGAGCATTTATATGTAGTTTCTGTCTTTTCTGAGTAGCTTGTGCTGTCATGTTTCGTTTCTACACTGTCTCTTTTACTTCCTCTCTTTCTTGGTCTGCCTCTTGCCTTGTAGCCTGCTGTTGTCTGCTTCCACTCATTGGCAGTGGATTACATGTATCTGTAAGAAGCTGTTTGGTGGCACCTGTTAACACAATGGTCTGATAAGAATACTTAGATTAAGAGGGTAGTCAGGAGAGGATAGTCATGTAAAATTAGTGCATGTTATTTGTTATGGAACAAAAGATTTGGCTATCCTCCGAAAAACGGGCACAAAATATGGCGGCCAAAAACAGGGCCTTAGTCACGTGTCAATTGTGCACTTTCGGCGACCTAATTTGCTGTTTTCGGGCGACAACCGCCACCGCCGAGAGTATCCCCCACGCCGCTTATGCGACGTGGATTGGGGCTAAACTAGATGGCTGGGACTCACGAGCAAAGCTGCAGGAGATGCGGAAGCTGCTGCTCGTGAGTCCCAGCTATCTAGTTTAGCCCCTAACCATGCGGCGTGGGGATAATCTCGGCGGTGGCAATAGTCGCCAGAAGTGCGCAATTGACACGTGACTGAGGCTCTGTTAGGGTGTTGTTGTGTCTGCCATCTTATGTGCCTATTTTTCGGATGATAGCTAAAGATTTAGAGGTATAGTGTCCCTCCTTATAAAACTGAACTGGTACGTTTTAATCTCTTAGTTTCCTATATCAAAATTAGTATCTCCTTAGGTTTTTTGTTTTTGTTTTAGTGTATGAACTTTTTTATTTGTTTTAAATTTCAGATGGAAATGGAGACAGTGATCTTACAGTGATATAGGCAGTTGTACACCATGGTTTGATATGTCAGAGAAATTAGATGCTTGGTACACTGATTGTTCATCAGCAGAGGAAAAAACGTAGGACTGCAGACAGCATGGCTGAGGGCGGGGAGATGGCCAGTGGCTCAACAGGGGATGTGTTTCGCATGGAGGAGAGGCCCGAGCATGGCATGAAGGTGTTGCAGGGTCTGAACAAGCTCAAGCAGGACGGAGTCCTTTGTGATGTAACACTTATTGCAGAAGGTCAGTTACTTAAGATGCCCCCCCCCCCCCCCCCAATGTTATGACCCATGCCCACATGTCCAGACATGCTGGAGAAAGAGAGCTAACCTATTTGTATATAGACCAATCAGCACTTGTTGGTGGATGTGGTCATTAACTTGACAGCAACCTTTACTTCCCAGAAAATGTTCTGGTACCTGTGACATTACATCTTAGGTTATTTTAACCACATGTGCTGCAAAACCAGCACTTCCGATTGGGCCCAGTTCTCCATAAGGTTTTTTTTTCTAACTTACTGTAGTAACCTGTTTACGAGGCTTTTAGTTCATGCTTTTGGTGAAGTTTGTGCCTGCACAAATGTTTAGAAAGTCGGGATATAAAGCCTCATTGATTGAGGTCAGGGCATGAATCACCCAATACATGTTTTTTACGTTCAGGGAAATATGTTCACTGTAAAGCTTCACCCTGTTGTTGGCTATCAAATTTGGATCTTTGACTGCTGAGCTCGCAGGCAAATGTGCTAGCCCTGAGCTCTGCAGCTGCTGTGTTGGTTGATATAAAATGATATTTAATGAATATTTTAGTTGGTTTTTCCCCCCTGAATGCTATCATTTATGTCTCATGACTTTTATTCTATAATTATTATTCTTATAGTCCATGCTTTGCGTCATTGGTGGTCGTCACTACCCACAGCCTTCTGTTTCATGTATTTCAGTCAGTTCTCACTCATATGACTCTCATGTCATGATTTTGCTGCTGCTGCTGCTTCCATCGATGATGGACGGTATTTCTAGTGTCGGATTGCTTATTTTGGCACTTCTGGTGGCTGCCTTATGCATTTTTTGCTTGTGTATGGTATTGGATTTGCTGAGACTGAGCTTGTGTCAGATTTTTTGCAATGGTCGATGGACATTTTTGTTGGTGTTTGTTGGTACAGGAACTATGGGGTGACCCATTTGCTATGAAGTTGGAACCTCAGTTACCCGAATCATATCATATAATCATAAGACACCCTGAAAACCACATACCATATTGGTCATCATATAACACATTAGTCATCTTATACCGTACTGGTAATTGTGTAACACATTAATAATCTTATACATAAGTTATATATATATATATATATATATATATATATATATACACACACACATATGTATATATTTATATTTATATACACACACACCATTATGGTAATCATATAACACATTAGTAATCACATACCCCATTGATATTCACATAACTGGTTGTTAGTCATTGATAATGGCATAACTCATTAATAAATCACATTACCCAATGATAGTCACATAACCTGTTTGTAATTACATAACCCATTGATAACCACTTACCACAAACTGATATTCCACAGGTACCAGGTTCAACTGTCATAGGGTGATCCTGGTCTCTTGTTCAGACTACTTCCTGTCCATGTTCACGAGCGGCATGCGAGAGTGCAATCAAAAGGAGATTGAGCTGAAGGGAATCACCGCCAAGGGGCTGGAGAAAGTCATTGAGGTGGTGTACACATCCACCACAACATTAGAAGGGGATGACATCTTTGATGTTATTGCAGCTGCCACACATCTGCAAGTGACTCCTGTGATAGAGTTTTGTGAGAGAAATTTCCTCAGTGGCATGAACACTAGTAATTTCTATGACTTCATTAATACTGCAAAGTTGTACAGTATGCACAATGCTTTAAAACAGATAGACGTGTTCATTGCCCGGAATTTGATGCAGATTGCCAAAGAGAACACCCTGAATCTGCTGACCTACGAGCAGATGGTGAGTTGTTTAAACAGTGATAAGCTGTGCTTCCGAGAGATGGATATATTCCACATCACCTGGGAGTGGTTGAGGATGGATCCCAAACGGCTCTGTCATGCCCCCTCCTTGATGAAACTAATCCGGTTCCCCCTGATTAATCCTGCTGATTTAGTCCACCAGGTTCAGAGTGTGGATCTGATGATGTCCAATCCAGAGCTGCGACAGATGGTGTTGTCTGCACTTAACTACCATGTGGTACCACACTCTCAGCCATTACTCAACACTGCATCAACACGTCTCCGGTCGTTTGTAGAAAGACTGGTTAGTGTCGGAGGCCGTGAGATTCATCCAAATCCATGTCTCCATGACGAACTTTTGGTGTTTGACTCCAAAATAACCTCGAGCAGTCTGTTAAACCGGCAAGAAATTGCAACACTGCCGAGTGCACTTAGCCACATGCAAGTGTTGGTCTATAACAACTTTCTGTATGTGTTAGGTGGCTGTACCACACAGTGTGCTCACGGGGAGTCAGCAGTCAACTCTGTGCTCCGCTACGATTCTCGCTTTGACACCTGGTTCCAGGTGTGCCCCATGCTCAACAAGAGAGCATATTTCTTTGCAGGAGCTTTAAACAATAAAATTTATTCTGTTGGTGGAAAGTTTAAAGATGGAAGCTTGGCAACAGCCGAATGTTATGACCCAGCAGAGAATACATGGGAGCTGATATCTTCAATGCCTATGTCTTACCATGCTCATGCTGGTGCTACTTACGGAAGTTACATTTTCATCTCTGGGGGATACTCAGGTAACCATTTCACACCTGATATGCAACGCTATGACCCGAATACAAATGCATGGGAGGATATGGCCCCCATGTTGACACCTCGAGGCTGGCACGTCATGTGTGCTAGCCACGATAAACTGTTTGTCTTCGGAGGCTGTAACTTGAACGTCAACCAACAAGCACAGCCGGTTATGCAGTCTGAGTGTTACGATCCTTCCACTGACCAGTGGACAATTGTGGCTCCCCTGTCCATCTCTCACAAGGAAGCTTCGTGTGTGGTCTATCGGGACAATATTTACGTACTGGGTGGGTATAATGTACAGACCAAGACAGGACAGAAGTTAGTTAGCAAGTATGATGTGTTCACTGGTATATGGGAAACTGTAGGCGCTCTTCCTCGCAGTCTAACTGGAGTAGGCTACTGCACAATCAGACTTCCATCCTATGATCCAGAAGAGTTACAAGCAGAGGCTGAATAACTGTGTCAGTGTTGGGTATATGATGTCATCCATTTGTACATGTATTTTTATTGTATGTTGTTGTTTTCAGCTGAGCAGTTTTGTGAACTTTGAGGTGTGTTCGTGCACTGGATTACTCATTGCTTAGGTACAACTAGAGGTATTTCATTTTACAGGATCTACAATGACTTGTTTACCATAAGCAAAAAATCTCACTTCATCTCATCAGTCACCAGGTCCTTCGCAGAATCTTGCTCTATTCATAGCATGCCTAAAAGTCTCTCTTTCTGTGGCTAACTCTCCAGCCCTGCGTGCTTTCATAGCAAGGCTTCTTCCCATATTAACCTTCGTGGAGGCCTGCCTCTGACTTGTTTTCCAGAAACTACCCATCATCACTGTTCTCTATAGGCCACCATAACATTTAACATAACGAAAGTAGCTTCACTTTCAGGGCAAAATGCTGTTTATGAGCCAATTCTCCTTGATGGTCAGAATCCTGTAAGATGTCAGTGTTTTTCCTCTGTATTCTAAGAATTGTTTTGTAGCATTTTAGTTCAAAACTCAGATGTTTCTCTTCAGAAATTAAGAGTCCTTGAATCACATCGCTACGTTGCCATGGGAAAAATGCATGATCTCAATATTGTTAATTTTAACTGTCTTGCAGGTGCTGTGCCATATATTCTTTATGCTTTTTAGTCTCTGAATTGCTAAAGCGAGCCTTTTCTGACTTGTTTTCTGTTTAGAGTTTCCAGGAGTATATAATGTGTTAGACCCCTTGCTTTCCACGTCCGCCTGACTGAGCATCTCAGCCTTCCATGATCTTTTAAATTGCCCTGGGTGAGTGAGTACATTGCTCTGTGATGCTGATTTTAACAGCAGATAGCACTGCAGAGGTGTCCGCCTATCTTGGTGGAAAATCAAGACTGAATTAACCATGCATGTTTTCACTCTCCATCACAAGGAAGTGCAGTTGGGATTTTTCTCTTCATCGAAACATGAGGCCAGGATGGCATTTCCCACACTCTCTGTGTACTTTAATGGTATAGCATTAGCTTTTTCTGTGATAGGAAGTGGGTCCACCATTAGGCTTTGCCTGTGATAGGAAGTGGGTCCACCATAAGGCTTTGCCTGTGATAGGAAGTGGGTCCACCATTAGGCTTTGCCTGTGATAGGATTGACATCTAACATTCACCATAAATTGTGGTGTATAACTAGAAGTAGATTAGTGGGTCCACCATTAGGCTTTGCCTGTGATAGGATTGACATCTAACATTCACCATAAATTGTGGTGTATAAATAGAAGTAGATTAGTGGGTCCACCATTAGGCTTTGCCTGTGATAGGATTGACATCTAACATTCACCATAAATTGTGGTGTATAACTAGAAGTAGATTTATACAACGGATATAAAATGCATTACGGGGGTATAGACCTGAGTGAATTTGGAGTTACAAAGTTTGAGTCGACTTATACACCAGGTCAGTTTGTACGCTGCAGTTTACTGTAGTTTTTGTCTGTGCTGGTGAGTGGCTCTTACATTTGGTGTGCTAGTGAGTGGCTCTTACATTTGGTGTGCTGGTGAGTGGCTCTTACATTTGGTGTGCTAGTGAGTGGCTGTTACATTTTGTGTGCTATTGAGTGGCTCTTACATTTCGTGTGCTAGTGAGTGGCTCTTACATTTCGTGTGCTAGTGAGTGGCTGTTACATTTTGTGTGCTAATGAGTGGCTCTTACATTTGGTGTGCTAGTGAGTGGCTCTTACATTTGGTGTGCTAGTGAGTGGCTCTTACATTTGGTGTGCTAGTGAGTGGCTCTTACATTTGGTGTGCTAGTGAGTGGCTCTTACATTTGGTGTGCTAGTGAGTGGCTCTTACATTCGGTGTGCTAGTGAGTGGCTCTTACATTTGGTGTGTTAGTGAGTGGCTCTTACATTTGGTGTGCTAGTGAGTGGCTCTTACATTTGGTATTTTATTGTGATACAAATTTGGTCTAACTTTTGACATTTTTCTGTGATAGAAATGGGCCTAATGGTTTTATTTTAACAGGGTGAAATAGACATCAATTAAAAGTAGGAAATTGGAAATATGTTAGCTGGAGAGCAAACATGAGGCAGATATCTTCTGTATTATAAAACAATGTTTAGAGCAGAATAGTCAGTACACTTTCTGAACAGATGGATCACCACAGTCTGGTGAGATTGATGCAGTGGGAAGTGATGAGGTTCTGGCAGATGCTCGAGGCTCAGAGGAAAGACAAGATAAACGTTTAATCAGAATGCTACTGGCACCATTAGTATTGGAACTCTTCACTGGCTGCTGAAGATGGGGACGGAGCGCTTATGGGAATGCCCTGAGTGCTGTGATGTCGGTTCTTGACTCAACTCCACTCAACTCTGAAGTATTGAGTTGTTTGTAAAGTATTAAAACAGTAAGTACCATGGTACCTCTGTGTACGTCTGCTTTCTAATAATTCCGACTTGGTATAAGTCCTGTTTAGACATTAATACATTTTCTTAGGTATATACGATCTTTGTTTGCAATATGACCCTGAGGAGAGGGCACGGGCAAAGGTCTTTGATCATATGTTTAGTAACAGTCAAACTTGGTGAGCCTCAACCAGGTCCAAATAGGGAATAGAGACACACACAAATGTGTTTGGTATACGTCCTGTTTAGTATAAGTTCAAGGATCTGTAACTGAGTAGGGATGTATACCGAGATGCCACTGTATTTACTTTCTGCAGTGACATACTTGTGTGGCTCATCAGTGCTGACTCATTGACGGAACAATTACAGTTGAACATATGTTGTTTTAAAGGGTGTGAGCTCAAGTTGAAATGTTTTACTGAATATCTCTTGTTTTTACTATACACTTCTATGTATCTCTTTTATCATTGGCAGAACAGTGGGAAATCTGGATGTTTCTGTGATCATAAACAATTGATAGCTTGTTTTGTTTAAATGGGTGAAGTATTAAACTCTCACTGCTAATAAACAGTAGGAAGTGCTCCTGTGTCTGTTGCAGTGTGAAGTGCTCCTGTGTCTTTTGCAGTTTGAAGTTCTCCTGTGTCTGTTGCAGTGTAAAGGGTTCTGTGTCTGTTGCAGTGTAAAGTGTTCTGTGTCTGTTGCAGTGTGGAGTGTTCTGTGTCTGTTGCAGTGTAAAGTGTTCTGTGTCTGTTGCAGTGTAAAGTGTTCTGTGTCTGTTGCAGTGTGAAGTGTTCTGTGTCTGTTGCAGAGTGAAGTGTTCTGTGTCTGTTGCAGTGTAAAGTGTTCTGTGTCTGTTGCAGTGTGAAGTGTTCTGTGTCTGTTGCAGTGTAAAGTGTTCTGTGTCTGTTGCAGTGTAAAGTGTTCTGTGTCTGTTGCAGAGTGAAGTGTTCTGTGTCTGTTGCAGAGTGAAGTGTTCTGTGTCTGTTGCAGTGTAAAGTGTTCTGTGTCTGTTGCAGTGTGGAGTGCTCCTGTGTCTGTTGCAGTGTGGAGTGCTCCTGTGTCTGTTGCAGTGTATAGTGCTTCTGTGTCTGTTGCAGTGTGAAGTGTTCTGTGTCTGTTGCAGTGTGAAGTGTTCTGTGTCTGTTGCAGTGTATAGTGCTTCTGTGTCTGTTGCAGTGTGAAGTGTTCTGTGTCTGTTGCAGTGTGAAGTGTTCTGTGTCTGTTGCAGTGTAAAGTGTTCTGTGTCTGTTGCAGTGTAAAGTGTTCTGTGTCTGTTGCAGTGTGGAGTGCTCCTGTGTCTGTTGCAGTGTGGAGTGCTCCTGTGTCTGTTGCAGTGTATAGTGCTTCTGTGTCTGTTGCAGTGTGAAGTGTTCTGTGTCTGTTGCAGTGTGAAGTGTTCTGTGTCTGTTGCAGTGTATAGTGCTTCTGTGTCTGTTGCAGTGTGAAGTGTTCTGTGTCTGTTGCAGTGTAAAGTGTTCTGTGTCTGTTGCAGTGTGAAGTGTTCTGTGTCTGTTGCAGTGTGGAGTGTTCTGTGTCTGTTGCAGTGTAAAGTGTTCTGTGTCTGTTGCAGTGTGAAGTGTTCTGTGTCTGTTGCAGTGTGAAGTGTTCTGTGTCTGTTGCAGTGTGGAGTGTTCTGTGTCTGTTGCAGTGTAAAGTGTTCTGTGTCTGTTGCAGTGTGAAGTGTTCTGTGTCTGTTGCAGTGTGAAGTGTTCTGTGTCTGTTGCAGAGTGAAGTGTTCTGTGTCTGTTGCAGAGTGAAGTGTTCTGTGTCTGTTGCAGTGTAAAGTGTTCTGTGTCTGTTGCAGAGTGAAGTGTTCTGTGTCTGTTGCAGTGTGAAGTGCTCCTGTGTCTGTTGCAGTGTATAGTGCTTCTGTGTCTGTTGCAGTGTGAAGTGTTCTGTGTCTGTTGCAGTGTAAAGTGTTCTGTGTCTGTTGCAGTGTGAAGTGTTCTGTGTCTGTTGCAGTGTGGAGTGTTCTGTGTCTGTTGCAGTGTAAAGTGTTCTGTGTCTGTTGCAGTGTGAAGTGTTCTGTGTCTGTTGCAGTGTAAAGTGTTCTGTGTCTGTTGCAGTGTGAAGTGTTCTGTGTCTGTTGCAGTGTGAAGTGTTCTGTGTCTGTTGCAGTGTAAAGTGTTCTGTGTCTGTTGCAGTGTAAAGTGTTCTGTGTCTGTTGCAGTGTAAAGTGTTCTGTGTCTGTTGCAGTGTAAAGTGTTCTGTGTCTGTTGCAGTGTAAAGTGTTCTGTGTCTGTTGCAGTGTGAAGTGTTCTGTGTCTGTTGCAGTGTGAAGTGTTCTGTGTCTGTTGCAGTGTGAAGTGTTCTGTGTCTGTTGCAGTGTAAAGTGTTCTGTGTCTGTTGCAGTGTAAAGTGTTCTGTGTCTGTTGCAGTGTGAAGTGTTCTGTGTCTGTTGCAGTGTATAGTGCTTCTGTGTCTGTTGCAGTGTGGAGTGTTCCTGTGTCTGTTGCAGTGTAAAGTGCTCCTGTGTCTGTTGCAGTGTGAAGTGCTCCTGTGTCTGTTGCAGTGTAAAGTGCTCCTGTGTCTGTTGCAGTGTAAAGTGCTCCTGTGTCTGTTGCAGTGTGAAGTGCTCCTGTGTCTGTTGCAGTGGT